TGAAATGGAGCTATAGCAGCGAGTTAGTTTTCATCTGGAAGAAATTTGAGGTCATTCCAACGGTTGGATCGACATAGGGTTGACATAGCCGCGTCCACCGACGCAACCTTCTGGCGTCGATCGACGTAATTCACAGAATGGTACTCATTCGACGAAACATTCGGTTAATGCAGAGGAAAAGGTCTACAAGCCTAGAGTATTGTACCCAAGAGCTATTAGTGTCAAAGCACCAGAGGAGAAAGGGAGACATGCTCAACCACTGCTGAGGAGGTTGAAAAAGATTGATGATCCAGGGATGTTCGTTGTTCCTTGCTCAATCAACGGTGTGAAATTAAGAAAAGGCAATTCTCTCAAGTACTGATCATCGATCAGAGTCCTTATCATTCAGGTCCAACCACAAAGTCCTTATAACTCAGGCCCGACCTCAGAATACGTTACTCAGTCAGTTCGTTCGTACAAGGTTCGTCAGTCTACTAAGCTTCCGAGCTCAACATCCTTTACTTTCCTTGTCCCGCTATCTTTCTTGTAATCCATTTCCGAGCATAATATCAATAAACGAGGATTTTCGAGCCCATTTACTGTTTAATAAACATATTACTGAATCCAAGTATCAACAATGAGCCATAATCATCTCTCTAATAATTAGATTTTATAAAGCATACCGACAAGTATTGACGAGCGATTAATGCCGACGATAAGATTTTGAAGAAAAACCTATATTTGTATGAAGTAGAAAATGATCGAGAAGATAAAAACGTTTCGAGGCACATCCTTTGGAATTGGATACTTGGTTTCAACAAAATATCCCCAATCCCAAAAATGATTTGGTATGTTTTTCATTGTGTTGATAGCAATGAAAAGAATTTACCACAAATTATATAATTATATATCTATTATCAACGGGATAATTTATATTTTTTTTGTTAATAATGTTCAATAATATTTTAAAATTTGGTGTTCGATAATAAAACGCATTGTGTTGACCGTGAAACCCCAATTTCGTTATGTCCTGCACGGATACCTGTCTAGTTTATTTAGTAAAAAGAAGTCAATATTACTTCAACATATACATAATAAAATATTTTCATGGATCAAAAAGTATCATTACACATTTTTTACATAAAGAAAGTGATAGATAAACTTCAATGTTGATAATCGTTATCCTTTCATAATATATATTTATATAGAGATGAGGAAACATCAATCATGCACTTTTTACATCCTCGGGCCCGCCAGTGTTGGGCATTGGCTCAGTTCCCTCAAGACCCATCAGTTGTCCGTTGAGTTTTTCCAACAGACAATTTATGGAACAATATGGACTTTCTACTTTCACGGATACCCAATAAGAATGGGATTGAGGAATACAC